TTAGGGGTAGAAAGGTCAAATTGTCCCTAAGGAAGAAAATATCTAAAACTCAATCAACCTTTTATTCGGCCCGTCGCCGCGGCGAAGAAACCTCTGTCGCCGCGGAGAAACTGTCCAGGGAGTTCCCCTTGGTTTCAACACATCTTCGCCGCGGCGAAGCTTCTTCTTTGCCCCGGCGAAGAACGGCAGACTGAACTTCTTCTGTTTTCATCCAATTTTCAGGGCAAACATTCAACACAACACTCAAACAAATAATAACAACTCGATTAAGGGCAAAAGAGGAAACAATAACAACGTAACTCAAGCGGGGCGTTACACGTGATTAATCACTAGTCGCTTCTGTTCGTGTGCGAAACTCACGCTCGTTACGGTGATGGCTTTTACCGTCGCAGCGAGCGTGATGGTGCCATAACTCAACGGAACCAGATTGTTCCTTGAGTGTGTTGTGCCAATAACCTGACAAAGAAAAACAGAACATCTGAATTAATGAACTAAAAATAACGCAAAAACATAACACAAAAAAAATACTAAACAGAAGAAAAAAAAACAAAAAGTTACGAATAGAAATAAATAAATAAAAACCAAACGGAATCAAAATCTTAGGTTGCCTCCCAAAAAGCACTTGTTTAAAGTCTTAAGCTCGTCTCCTTTCTATCGTCAATTAGGATTGTGAAGAAGAATTGAAACCCTATTGTCTTCATTCCTATTCTAAATATAAGGTTTCAATCTTTGGTCGTTGACTTTGAATGTTCCCTTCGTCAGGTGGTGAAGCTCTATCGCCCCATGCGGAAACACGCGATGAATTATGAATGGGCCAGACCATCTTGAACATAATTTTCCCGGGAAAAGTTGTAGTCTTGAGTTAAACAATAGCACTTTGTTGCCCTCCTTGAATTCCTTGTTCACAATATGTTTATTGTGCCACTGCTTAGTCTTTTCTTTGTAGATTCGGGTATTCTCATACGTATTATTGCGAAACTCTTCCATCTCATTGAGTTGTAGTAATCGTTTTGCTCCTGTGGCTTGTAGATCAAAGTTCAGAAACTTCATTGCCCAATATGACCTATGCTCTAACTCTACTGGCAAGTGACTAGCTTTTCCATAAACCATCCTATAGGGCGACATTCCTATTGGTGTTTTGAATACCGTCCTATACGCCCATAATGCATCATCAAGCTTGATTGCCCAATCCTGATTGAAGAACTTTAGCGGTAGTCTTTGTCGAACCAAAATGACCACCAACTTCCATAGAATAACAATGACAAAGAATATTCATCATCTCTTCTTCTGGCACACATTTTCTTATCATTTGATCGGCGCAATGCTTGTACAAAAATGGATCCTCCCAAAAGTAGTACTTTAAATCTGTAAAAAATTTCTTTCGTCTCTGGGAGTTCATTCCAGGAGGCAATACTTTCTATGCCAAATAGTTAGCAATATCTGCAAACCACAACCCTTCTTGAATAGCAAACAATTGCTCATCCAGGAAGTATTCGTTGATTGGCTTTTCTTCCTTTCGAACTTCTTCATTGGACTCTAATCGGGATAAATGGTCAGCCACTTGATTTTCCGTTCCTTTCTTGTCCTTAATCTCAAAGTCAAATTCCTGTAACAGCAATACCTATCGCAATAATCTTGGCTTGGAATCCCGTTTTGCTAGGAGGTACTTCAATGCAGCATGGTCAGTATACACAATAACCTTAGTACCTAGCAAATAAGAACAAAATTTATCAATAGAGAATACTACTGCTAAAAATTCTTTTTCAGTAGTAGCATAATTTAACTATGGTCCCGTTAGAGTCTTGTTGGCATAATAAATCACATGCAAAACCTTACATTTTCGTTGTCCTAAAACAGCCCCTAAAGCGTAGTCACTTGCATCACACATGAGTTCAAAAGGTAGTTCCCAATCGGGCGCAACAATAATAAGAGCAAAAATTAACTTTGCTTTTAAACACTTAAATGCATCTAAACACTCTTGACTAAAATTAAAAGGAACATCCTTAGCTAATAAATCACAAAGAGGTTTAGAGATTTTAGAGAAGTCCTGTATGAATCTCCTATAAAAACCCGCATGCCCAAGGAAACTTCTGATAGCCTTCACTGAGTTTGGAGGTGGTAGTTTCTCAATGACTTCAATCTTTGCTCGATCCACCTCAATTCCATTCGCGGATATCCAATGACCTAACACAATCCCATCTCATACCATGAAATGGCATTTTTCCCAATTTGGCACCAAGTTAGTGTCAACACATCTCTGCAAAACATGAGATAAGTTAGTTAAACAATCATCAAAAGAATCTCCAAAAACAGAAAAATCGTCCATGAAAACTTCAATGGACTTCTTAACCATATCAGAGAGTATTGAGATCATGCAACGTTGAAAAGTTGCAAGAGCATTGCATAAGCCAAAAGGCATTCTTCGATAGGCGAATGTTCCATATAGGCACGTGAAAGTCGTTTTCTCTTGATCTTCTGGCGCTATAGCAATTTGATTGTAGCCTGAGTATCCGTCTAGGAAACAATAGAACTAATGGCCAGCTAACCTCTCCAACATTTGATCGATGAATGGCAATGGAAAATGGTCCTTATGAGTCGCGAAATTCAGTTTGCGATAGTCGATACATACTCTCTATCCCATGACTATTCGTGTTGGAATCAGCTCGTTGTTATCATTACGGACCACTGTCATTCCTCCCTTCTTTGGCACTACTTGGACTAGACTTACCCATGCACTATCCAAAACTAGATATATAATTTCAGCGTCTAAGAGCTTCAACGCCTCCTTCTTGACCACTTCTTGCATTGATGGATTCAATCTTCTTTGTGGTTGGACGGTAGGCTTATAACTTTCCTCCATTAGGATCTTGTGCGTGCAAATTGAAGGACTGATACCTTTTATATCTGTAATTGTCCATCCAATGGCCTTCTTGTATTTTCTCAATATGCGCAGCAACTTTTCTTCCTCTACAACACTCAAAGAAGCATTAATAATGACTGGAAAAAATTTACCCCCTTCTAAAAATGCATACCTTAAATGAGATGGTAGTTGCTTGAGCTCAAGTGTAGGGGCCTTTGTGATTGGTAAAGTTGACTGAGACACCACAGCTCCAATTTCTCTTATCGAATTTGCTTCAGGACGAACCAAGGGTGGTAGAGCATTTAAGTATCTTAAACACTCCCTTATCTCTTCACTATCAACTTCATCCTCCTGATCTCTAGAATTCATCAAACAATTCTCTAAAGGAAAAATGGGGTAGCTCTCTTCAAAATTCTACTCCACTATGGTGTCAAGAACATCAATCTTAAAACATGAGTCTAATTCAGATGGACGCTTCATAGATTTAAACACATCAAATTCTACTTGCTCGGCTTCTACTATTAAGATTAATTTCCCTCAGTGGACATCTATCAATATTCTACTTGTGGTTAGAAAAAGTAGTCATAAAATTAAAGGTATTTCCCTATCTTCCTCCATGTCTAACACTATGAAATCTACTGGGAAAATCAATTTGTCTAACTTAATCAAGATGTCTTCTACCACCCCCCTAGGATATGTTATCGATTGATCAGCTAATTAGAGCGACACAGTGGTTGGCTTCACTTCTCCTAATCCAAGCTTCCTATAAATAGAAAACGGCATTAAATTTATACTTGCCCCTAAATCACATATCACTTTATCAAAATAACAACTACCAATAATACAAGGGATAGTAAAACTCCCTGGATCTCATAGTTTAAGTGGTAGTTTCTTTTGAATCAGCGCGCTGCATTCCTCCGTTAGCATAACTTTCTCGTGTTCCTCGAATTTTCTCTTGTGCATGAGGATCTCCTTCAAAAACTTCGCATATTTCGGCATCTGTTCTAGCATATCAACCAAAGGGATATTAATATGTAAACTTCGAAACATGTCAATAAACTTACCGAATTGCTTATCAAGCTTCTGATTCTTCAACTGTTGTGGGTATGGAAGGGTTGCCTGGCTCGAAGAAGGTTTCTATTCAGATGCAAGCTCGCCGCGATCGCCAGATTCATCGCCGCGACGATTAGTTGAAAGTTCTGACGAATTGTGAGTAGGATCATGCTCGCCACGGCCACTAGTATTATCACCGCGGCAATCATCCTTGTTTCGGACGAGCCTCTCCACATTCTCACGATCACTGCAGTGAGGAATGTCATCATCGCGAAAATCGTTCTTCTGCTTATCCTTCAAGTCTTGTTCTTGCCTCTGTTTTTCACCCTCTGAATTTTCCAAAATTTGTCCACTCCTCAAGGTGATTGCATGCGCTTGTTCCTTAGGATTTTTCTCTGCATTGCTTGGCAAAACTCCTTGAACTCTTCCCGCTAATATGTTATGAATTTGCCCAATTTGAGTCTCAAGGTTCCTAATAGAGGCTGATTGATTTTGAACCAAGACGTCAGTCTTCTCAAACCTCTTGCTTGTCTCTTCAATGAACTTGGTCAACACATTCTCTAAATTAGATTTTGGCTCTTGAGGTTGAAAAATAGGAGATTGTTTTTCCTCATTGTTGTTGCTCCATGAAAAGTTCGGGTGTTTCCTCCATGCTGGAATATATGTGATGGAATATGGATTCCCTTGCCCCCTTTGGAAATTATTAACGTAATTGGCTTGTTCAGGCTGAGCAAACAGGTTCCCTTCTTGACAATCCTTCGATGAATGATTTCCTGCACAAAGATCACATGTTAGAGAAGAAGATTCAATTTCATTTATTTTTAACACATTACCTAATTGCTTCTGGATGTTCGAAAGTTGAGCAGCCAATGCAGTGTAACTGTCAACTTCCTGCACTCCCGCTGATCTCCTTGTTGAAGTTCTCTCTGAAGTCCTCATATAGTTATTATTCGCCATCACCTTAATCAGATTGTATGCTTCCTCTGGTGTTTTATTGTTCAAGGCTCCCCCACTTGCAGCATCAATCATAACTTGAATAGTTGGTAGCAACCCTTGGTAGAACGTTTGCACTTGCGACTAGATTGGTAAACCATGGTGAGGGCACTTCCGTAAAAGAACCTTATACCTTTCCCATGCTTTATACAATGACTCTGAATCTTGTTGGTAAAAGTTGGCAATCTCACTCCTTAGCTTGGCAGACTTGGTAGGTGGAAAATATTTAGTGAGGAACGCTTGAGCTAACTTGTTCCATTTTGTGATGCTCCCAAATGGCAGAGAAATCAACCAAGCCTTAGCTTTATCCTGAAGAGAGAATGGGAAAAGCCTTAGCCTAATTGCATCATCGGATACTCCATTATGCCTGAATGTGTTGCATAACTCCAAAAAATTTGCGATATGCAGGTTGGGGTCATCATTAGGTAACCCATCGAATTGGACTGACTGTTGAATCATTTGAATAATTGCTGGCTTAATCTCAAAATTATTCGCTTGAACGGGTGGTCTCCTGATGCTAGAATAGTACCAATTAATAGTAGGATTAGAGCAGTCCTTCAATGCTCTCTGAACCACTGCTACTCCACCCATTGCATTTCCTCCTAAGGCATCCTCATTCTCATTCTCTTGATTTTCCACATTAGGATTGCCAATTCCTGTGTTAGCCATTGATTTTTCAAAGTCAGCTTGCCTCTTTTCTTTCCTCAATTGATTAGCCGTTCTCTCGATCTCAAAATCTAGTGGATTAAGATCACCACTACCTCTTGAACGTAAACTCTTCAGATTCTATCTGAAAACAACAACCAAAACAAACAAAAATAAAAATTAATTAGTAAACAAAAATAAAACAAATCAAATTAGCAACTAAATATTTCGTATTGATATTGGTAAAATGAAATAGTTCCTCGGCAATGGCGCCAAAAACTTGACAGGCTTTTCGCAAGTGTATGAAATCGTGCAAGTAGTAAAACTCGAGTAAACGAGTGTCGAATCCCAAGAGAACTACCTACCAAGTACCAAACTAGTCTATTTTATTGCTATTTGATGAAACAGAATTTTATGAATGAATTTAATGAAAAGGAAAACAAATTAAAAACTAAACAAATCAGAATTTTATAAAAGCTATGGTATAAAGATCAATATGGCTAAACCCTAGGGCACAGATTTCACACCAATTTATTCCTATGTATTGACGATTATTACTATCCTAAGTAAGCTTATTCTAAAGGCCAAACTCCCTAATATTCCCCTAATTTTCTCTCGAACAATTAGTGAATTAACCCATAAACAACAACCCAAAATATCTCTAAGTTGGATTTAGAAGCTAAGAGATCATTAAGTTCGATGGAATTTACCAGAGCCTTATAGATCGCGGTAACCTATCTCTAGCGTTCGCTCAATCTATGGTTTTATTACCTTAGACAAATCAGGTTTCATCTCTCGATCTTAACCCAACCCATGATTTCATTCAACCCTCGGATCCTTAAGAATTGAAAGCATTACACACAATAATAAAACTTAGAATTAATGCTCAATAAGAAATTAATAAAGATAATGTCAACACATATTCATAAATTGGGCTACACCTTTAGCCCTAGAAAAGTGATTTAGTTCATAGTTACAATAATAAAAACCATCATTCTATTCAACAACATGAGTTCAAGAAAGAAAAATATAAACACTTCTCTAATTGGTGAATAAGAGCTTCAAGAATCCCGATCTCCAAACTAGTAGTCATCCTTTTCTTTCTCTCCAAAAAACTCCTTTAAAACTTCTTAAAGACCCTTCTTTATAGTCCTAGGGTTTTGATCTTACTTAGGAAAAGAGTAAATGCCTTAACCCATTCAGATTCAGATTAGGATAATGCATTGACCTAACAAGCCCGTGACCTATCGTCGCGACGGTAAGAATAGTCGCTGCGACGATCGTTCTTTCTGTCCAAGGTGTCCGTGATCTTCAGAATTTGGTAAAGTCATCAGCACAAACTTTATGGCTCTCTGAATAAGCTTTCCAACACCACCAGAATTGTCAAATTCTGATTTCTATAGCTCAAGTTATGACAGAAACATCGAAGCATGCTCATCTTGAAGGATTTCCAGATTTTACGTTATATCTTCGACGCATCACAACTTTCTCGTTTCAACTCCGATTCTTGTACCATTTTTTCCTATGCGTCATGAATTCCATTGGCATCATTCGTTTCCCTTCAAATATCTGTTTGAGCCTGAAAACACTCAAAATACACCCGTGATCCCCGTAAAAGGCAATTATGAAAGAATTAACTGAAATTCCACAATTTAAACACATTTTTCCATAAATAATCCAGTTACATCACTAACAAAATATAAAATTTCAAGCTCTAATCAGATAACTTCTCCCGTACCCAGGAGTGATTCCTTTATCGATCAATCATAGTCTTGATGCAGCCAATCACTACCGTATTGATAGCTCTGAACAGAATTACAATGGGCTAGTGTCAAACTACACCAATCGGTGCATAAGACACTCTAGTAATCTCAAGTCTAAGGATCACATGCACCACCATTCGTTAGAGGATTTATTCCATAGACATTGGGGTTACCATTTATATGGAATTTTCTAATGGGTCTGTCTAGTGAACTTGCCTCTAACAAACACCCATGTGTTGCACCAAGTTGTTGGCAAACAACTTTGACAAGTGAGATCAGTCATTGCCTTTCGATAAGGTCATTCAACGCTATGATAGCCTTACTGTATTATCTGTGTCCTTGATCAGAATAATACTAGGGCTATGGAAATTTCTAGAATGGCCACCATATGTGATCATAGAGTTCTCACAATCAAGATTTGAAACACTTGATACCCTCGTCATGGTTCTACCATCCTAAGGACATTTATCATTACATATAACTATGATATACACGATATAGAAAGACCTAAGATTTTTATTCAGAACTATTAGAGCGGTAGTAATTGGCTACATCGAGAAGTGTATCAAGACTATGGTGGATTAATAGATGATTCAACACTCCCAGGTACGGGAGAAATTATCTCACTAAGCAATTTGATAAATGATAACAACATAAATATGTGGCCATAATGGAATCGAGTTGTAGCTTAATCCAATCTATTCCGATCGTTGGTCCAATAACCGAATAGTGAGAGGTCAATGATATCTGAGGTTGACACTACTTCTGTACCTTATCCTTGATGAGATAATGGATGATAAAAGGATTTGATTGCATGATAACCATATCGTAGATAAGTAAGTTGTTTTGTTGAATATGAATCTATCGGGTGGCCATGATGCCTTGCTAGAGGCCAATCTTGGTCTGTGTTTAGTGAGATTATTGATTGGGTGTCAATTGTGATACTACTCACTACTAATATGATAAGGAGCCTTCAGGTCGCATACATAGAAGACAAATTAAGGATAAATAAGTGAGAAGGATATTGTCGTCTTTTAAGATGAAAAGGTATTTTGGTAATCTCATAGTGCAATTAAATTTGCCAAGGTCGTTGCCTATATTTAATTTCATATGGAAATTAAAATAAGAGAGAATATGCATTTAAATATATATATTTAAATGATATATTATTAATTGATATTAATGTTTAAATAATATTAATATTAAAGATAATATAAAATCAAATTTGAATTTGAATTTGAAATTAAATACCATGTGGGACTTACCTTGAATTGGTAATTGAATATGCCTAATCTAAATACCGAATTAGTTGATTGCAATTCCAAATTAGATTAGGGTTTTGGTTTTGCACTATTTAAGTGCAATTGAAATGCAAAAATGAAAAATGAATTCACTCAATAAACCCTAGCCGCCCACTCTCTCTCCCTCTCCCCCAAACCGTGGACACCCATGGTGAAGGAGGAGAATTTTTCTAAGGAAAAATTATGCATTCTCATTGTTGATCCTTGCGGGTTTGGCTAGCACATCGAACCCCTTGGTGATCAACATCCTGTCTTCATGTGGATATTGAGAGTTCATTCCTAACTTGGAGTGGGAGTGATTCATATCAATTGAATAAGCCTCTAAACGCTGGTATGAAACCTGATATTTATTGTTTAGTATTTGTTTCATATGCAAACAATGTAAAATGGGTATAAGGATCTAGGGTTCATGGTTGTGGACCAACATAAAGTTTTTATATTCTGCTACGTAAACTCGATCCATATACCTACATCCTCAGGGTTAGTCAAGCTCAAACTCGAACTCGAATTCGATACTATAGCGCTCAAGTCAAGTTTGAATACCCATATAATTGACTCAACTCGACTTGATTTCACCCCTAATGTTGCCTAGTGTGATTATGTCTGAAACAAGAGATAGCCCTAATCAATGCTATTCAAAGTATTTTCCCTAGTTCAACTAATCTTATTTGTAGAAAAAATACGAGGATAATTTTTTTATCTTTAGGTATTTGAGGTATCAAGGCCCACATTGGAGCATGTCCAATGGACCAAGGTAATTGCATAAATGTGGTAAGTACGTCTCCTGTAACTCGAACACAAGATCCCCTAGGTATAGTTAACTCTAGTGACTAAAGGGTTTACCATCTGGCCACAAGGAGAAATTTGTTGGAGCTTGCACAAACTTAATTATGCATTTTGAAAACGTGACCAGAAACAGGTAAATATTAAATATAAAAACTCATTCTTTTTTTTCCAATTCATGTAGTAATGTTAGTTTGTTTTCTTTTGTTTTAAATAAGGCTAAGAGCACACATGCAAAATTATAGAGACAACAATAGGTTCTTATGCACTCTATATTAAAATTACAAAACATCGAGATCAAGGCTTTAACTAATATGAGTACAACGATTGTGCAACATCATTTTAAACCATCATTTTGAAAGAGTTAAGAAGGTTCACCTTAAGAAATGCATTTGATTTGTTATTTGGTGAGTATGAACAGGCTGATTCAGTTTGTGTTGATGTAATAGCTTGAAGATGTGTAATTCGAAGAACACATGGATGCCTATGTGCACATGAGATTGCAGAGTACAAGCGAGAAAATCGACTTATTTCTTTATATTCGGTACATGACCATTGGAGGAAACTTGATTTAGTATTTACCATCAGAGAAAATGGTAATATGTTAAGTTTGCAAAGGAGTTAAGAGTTTATTTTGAAACTTTTTGGATGATAATAACGATGTTGACGAGTTGTAGTTACTAAAGAAGTTGAAAGAATTATCAAAATT